TATTATATTTGTTCTCTTTAACTGTGATGCAGAATAAGCTCTCCTTTCCATGATTTAATGTTGTATCTATTCATCTTACCAACACTGTGCACCCTTCTTTGCTGCGTCCACCCCCTTGGCCAATTTTAAGCGCCCACGCTCATCTTCTCACCCCTTCTCTGCCTCTGAATCAGCTCTAGCTAGAAGACATCTCTGAACCTTGCTTGGCACCCACAGTTCTTTTAAAAGCAGAATTTATAAGAATAATATATAAGATTCTATAAGAGTCAAGAAAATCACTTAAATTCTTCACATCTTGGGTGTTTCTAATGAAGCAACATGATGAAAAGGAGAAGAACTAAACTAGGAGAAAAGAAAAGAAAAAGGGTAATGAGGAGAGAGGAAGAGTTTCCTTTAAAAGGAAAGGAGAGCAGCTGGAGCAATAGCACGGTGAGTAGGGTGTTTGCCTTGCATGCAGCCGACCCAGGTTTGATTCCCAGCATCCCATATGGTCTCCTGAGAACTGCCAGAGGTGATTCCTGAGTGAAAAGCTACGGGTAACCCCTGTACATTGTCCGATGTGACCCCAAAATAAAAATAAATAAATAGAAGGAAAGGAGACAGGGATTAAGCAGGGCTTAATGTTTTGACTAAATTTTCCACTTCATAAATGTGGAGGTCGAGCTCCAAAGAGGTAGGTAACCTTCCCAAAGACCCCAGATGGAGGATTGGAAAAGGTAATGATAGAACTCAAGATTGGCTCCTTAATCTTTAATAGAAGTGAACAATCTTCGCTAGGAAGGATATTGAAAGTGAGGCAGAGTATTATAAATTCCATATAACAGGGATTTAGCATAGACATTGTAGGCCCAAATGCTGGGCTGGAAGCCATGTTTGGGGATCATTTCATTGAAGATATGTGTTCAAAGCAAATTAGAAGAGGGAGAAACCAGTAGAATGAAGACAGAGCAGAACCATTAGAGTTTTTTTCCCAGTCATGAGGTAAGACCTTTGACCAGACTATAAAATTCAAATGGAGGAAGAAGGACAGAGTTGAGAGACATTTCCAATGAAGATGCAAATCAGATCTTGGGTAATGAGTGGTGCCGGCAAAAGACAGGTCCTACACAATCCCGACTGTCAGACAGTGGCGGCTGTTGGACTGTTTCACAGGCTTGTAGTAAATCACTCCGTGGATCCATTCTTTGACAGGAAGCCAGTGCCTTCCCCTTGGCTACCTGGGGAGGTGACAGTTCTGACAGCAGTCCGGACGCACCTGCTTGGCCCTCTATCCGCTAGGAACAAGCGGCGTGCCTGCTTGTCAGTCTGCTTTTATTCACTACATTCTTCTTAAAGGTATGAAGGAAATTCTCAGAGCATGCTGGAGGCGATGCAGATTTTATCCCAAAGTGAAAAAGGGAAAAAGTTTACCTCTCAGGACATCAATGCCAGGGTTTTGGAAGCACCCAGAAGTGGATGAACGAGAATAAGCTGCCTCGAGGGCTCTGATTCTTGAGTTAGGAGCAGTTCGCAGCACCTTCCTGTCGCCTGACTGAAGCACAAAAGGTGATTTGATTGAAGTGCTACGAATGGCTGATGCGGTGATACCTGACTTCCATGTTGGAGTTAAAGTTGCTGCAATGATAGCGCTGCCCTGAAGCTGCTTTTCTTCAGTAGGCACTGACACTCAGGAGAGAAGGACAAAGGGAGTTAACCTTCTAGAGATCTCCACCAGTTAGAATCGTGGGCAAGGAAGAAACCAGTGGTCCTATTGGTGCTCATTTCTGTGCTGTTTCAACTGTAGCAATCACACAGACATGGGATTAGAGATAATAAAATGGGACAGACGTTTTTCCTTACCCAGCACTTCCAGAACATTCTACAGTTGACAAAACATCTTTTTTTTTTATTAGAGAACTGTGAAGTACAAACTTACTGATATTTGAGTTTTAGGCATATAGTACTTCAGTGCCAATCCAATAGCCCATGGCAACTTCCCTCCACCACTCCTCCTTATTCCCTCCCCACTCTAACCCCCTCCCTTCCCCGCCTGTCAACTTGACAGGTACATTCCAAAGTCTCAGAGGCTGCAGCTTCCACTTCATGTTTTCAGTTTTGTTGAGCCTGTGTTTTGGGTGTACGCTATTCCCCTCACTCATAACTAGTAAAACCGATGCCTGTCCACACATTACTTCTTATTATCTTCTCCCTTCTCCCCTTGATTTCTTTCCTTCTCTGTCTCCCCTCTAGACACTGGGGTCAAGCGTGATCTAGGCATCTCCTCACTGCAATGCATTCCCTCCTCCAGTATTCTATATACCACAGAGAAGTGAGATCATCTTGTGTTTGTCTTTCTTCTCTTCCAGTTCCAACCATGTTGCTGCAAATTGCATACTTTCATTATTTCTTGCAGCTGCATAGTTTTTCATTTGTATATACCAAATCTTTGGAATCCATTCATCTGTCATTGGATACTTGGTTGATTTCATATCTTAGCTATTGTAGAGTCTAGCATTTAATCATGGTGTGCCTATGTCCTGATGAGAGAATGTTTTTATGTCTTGGGAGTAGAAGCATCTTGACAGGCATTATCTTTTTTGATTTTCAGAATGCTTAAGTGTTTTATTTCATTTGGCTTTCTCTTACAGAATAGCATTGCTGGGTGGGCTATAACCAACAGAGTATATTTTTCTCACAGTTCTGGAGGATGGGAGGCTGACAGCAAGGTGCTAGTCTATATTTATCTGGGGAGAGAGAGCCTGCTTTGAGTCCCATAGAACTATCTCCCAGCACTTCTTGGATGTGGGAAGGATTTCCATGGGGCCGTTTTATAAAGGGACAAACCCCATCCAGAAATGCCTCACCTATATGACCTCCCAAAGGCCCCACCTGCAAGCACCATCACCTCCAAGGTTAGAATTTCAACAGACACATTATGAGGGGACACACACATTCAGACCATAGCAGGTAGAAATGATTATTCTATAGTGATGAGAAAACTGATAGACTAAATAATTTCGTTAAAGACATGTACTGTAGCACAACAGGTAGGGCTTTTTCCTTGCACGTGGCTGACCCAGGTTCGATCCCTGGCATCCCATATGGTCCCTCAGCACTGCCAAGAGTAATTCCTGAGTGCAGAGCCAGGAGTAACACCTGAGCATCACTGGGTGTGACCCAAAAAGCAAAAATAAGTAAATAAAAATTAAATAAAGACATGTACTGTATAAATCATGAAAATAAGACCTGAATCTAAGGTTCAGAGAATCTGAGACAAAGATCATAATTCATTAGCACAGTATCTGGCACAGTATCTGGTGCTGTTTAATAAATACTATCTCTACCCCAACACACAATATCTTCAGCAATACAACTTGTCAAATACAACAGCAATTCTTGCTTTAAAAGGAATGCTGAATAAAGTATAATGACATGGTTCCCTATCAGTCTGCTTGGAAGTCCCATAGAGTCTTCCAATTCTTGCAAGTAAATTAATCTGAGAAAACTGCCACAAATGCATCAGTGTCCTCCTGGTACATTTGACTTTCATATTATCAGATTAACTTATACTATATATAATATTAGGATATGAAAGCAAAATGAGGAAATGAATATTTTACCCAGCACCTACTATAGATCAGCAGCTATGAAAGCCCCTTTCAAACAGTGACTCTAAGGATCAGAAGAGCATAAGGCTGAGGGGAGCTGTGTTATTTTATCATGGTGCAACAGGTATGTCACCAACCTAGGTTGGGACTCTAAGATAATGCAGCCATCCCTTCTAATTTGAACATGCTACCTTTTGTTTCTAGAAAAGTTTTTTAAACTTTTAATTTAGAGACCATAATTTACAAAGCTTTTTTTCTTATAATAAGTATGAAATATTCCTACCTGCAGTCCTACCATCCTGCAACCCCATCCCTCCACTTCTGACCCCAAATCCCCTAATATCCAGCCCCCAGCCTGACTTCTTGACAGGTATATTTTAAGATTTGTATTATTGTGTTTGAGTCTGATGCTTTCAGCAGTGTTGAATCATGATTTAGATATGCACAGATATTTAGATATGCACAGAGATCTCCACTTTATACCAAAAAGCCCAAAACTAGTCATTACCCTCAGGTACTTCCAGGCCTTCTCTTCTTGATTGTCCCTCCCATTTCTCTTTGGCATTTTATTTCTGTAATATAAAGCCAATGTTCTGTCCAATTTTGATACTTTTGATTGCCTAGATGTTATTTTATATATATCAAAAATTAGTGAGAAGACCTAGTATTGGGCTGGAGCAATAGCACAGCAGGTAGGGTGTTTGCCTTCCACGCAGCCAACATGGCTGACCTGAGTTCGATTCCTCCCCCCCCTCAAAGACCCCAGCAAGCTACCGAGAGTATCTCGCCCTCACAGCAAAGCCTGGCAAGCTCCCTGTGGCGAATTCGATATGCCAAATACAGCAACAACAAAGTCTCACGATGGAGACATTACTGGGCCCACTCGAGTAAATCGATGAACAACAGGAGGATCGTGACAGTGATAGGACCCAGTATTAGTCCTTCTGACTTATTTCACTATACATGAGATCCTCCAGTTCCATTCAAGATAAAGTCAAATGCACAATTTAATCATTCATTGTGTGGCTGCATATTACTTCACCGTGCACATTATATTTCATTGTGACTATGATATCCAGGATGGAGGATAGCACAATGGGTAGGGCGTTTGCCTTGCAAGTGGCCAACATGGCCAACCCGAGTTCGATTCCTCTGCCCCTCTCAGAGAACCCAGCAAGCTACCGAGAGTATCTCGCCTGCATGGCAAAGTCTGGCAAGCTACCCGTGATGTATTCGATATGCCAAACACAGTAACAATTGTCACAATGGAGATGTTACTGGGCCCGCTCGAGCAAATCAACGAACAACAAGAAAACAGTGATAGTGACTATGATATCCACTCCTGTCATTGGGCACCTGGATTTTTTTCCATATTCTGGTTTTTGTACTGAGACAGTGAAGATAGGTATGCTTATGCTCGCTTTGGCAGCACATATACTAAAATTGGAATGATACAAAGAAGATTAGCATGGCCCCTGCACAAGGATGACAGGCAAATTCGTAAAATATTCCATATTAAAAAAAAAGATAGGTATGCTTGTATCACTCTGAATAAATGCTACCATGTCCTGGGGTAAATACCAAGCATCAAGTGTTTTTAACATTTTCCATATTGTTTTCAGTACAGACTGAACCAGGTAACACCCCTATCAACAGCACTGCACTGCACTGTCCTTCTGTTGTTCATTGATTTGCTCGAGCAGGCCCAGTAAGATCTCCATTTTGAGACTTGTTGTTACTGTGTTTGGCATATTGAATATGTCACGGGTAGCTTGCCAGGCTTTGCCATGCAGGCGAGATACTCTCGGTTGCTTGCTGGGCTCTCTGAGAGGGGTGGAGGAATCAAACCTGGCTCAGTTGGGCTGGCCAAGTGCAAGGCAAATGGCCTACTGCTGTGCTATCGCTTCAGCCTTTCCCAAACCCAGCATAGCACATGAGAATTCCATTGTCACTAGTTCCTTCCAGCACAAGTCGTTTCTAGAGTCTTTGGTACATGCCATTCTCACTAGGATGAGGTAATATCTCACTGTCATCTTACCTTGTATTTCTCTGATAAAAAGTGGTGATGAGGGGCTGGAGATACAGCACAATAGGTAGGGTGCTTACCTTGCATGCAGCCAACCTGGGTTCAATCCTCAGCATCCCTGATAGTCCCCTGATCATTGCCAGAATTGATGATTCCTGAGTTCAGTGCCAAAAGTAACCCCTGGGCATCACTGGGTGTGGACCTCCCCCAAAAATGACAATGATGAATGAACGAGATGAGATGAAGGGATGCTTTCATATATCTTTTAGCTACCCTCCTATCTTCTTCAGAGAAATGTCTGTCCCCTCCTGACCTCATTTTTATGGGAATTTGGAATTAAGGATATTAGACTTCGTGAGTGCTTGGTATTTCTCAAATATTAACACTTTTTCTAATGTATCAAATGCAAGTATTTTCTTCTGTTCAATGTGTGTCTTTATTTTAGTCCTTCTTTATTTTGCCATATGGAAACATTTCCATTTGATGTCATACCATTTGTTTATTTTTGTTTCTGTTATTTTTGCCAGTGAAGTCATAGAGTTGAAAAAACCTTTGTGATCCAATTGTTTCCAGAGAATTTTTTAGAATACTATTTAATGCGACCTGCCCAATAAATTCTACCTTTTTCAAGGACATAATGTTAAACCACTCCATTGATATAATTCTCACCCAATTTATACTAAATGTCAGTTAACTATAAAGAGTCGACTATTCAATGAGAGAAACCAGAATTTATCAGTGTCTTTAATATTTTCCTCCAGTTTTGATCACAGTGGATTTTACTATCATCCCAATTTAGAAGATAAATTAGAACTGAGTTAGAACCATTTCCTTTTACAAAGAAGAACCGCCATTTTTTTGTGCCTCCTATGTTTCCAATCACTTTTTCTCATCTAATTCTTGATGACTCTGCCAGATAGTTATCAACCCCAGGTTGCACATGGGTAAACAGGCTCTAGAAGTGGGACCATGTGATAGTTCATATAATTCAAGGCATAAAAATGGGACAAAGGCCCGACCCTGGACCTGTCACTATTTCAGAGTTTGTACTTCTGTTCACATTTTTAATGTTGAAATCCCTTTCTTATAATCACCATAAAAGGAATCTCCAAGAGTGATATGTAGTACCTGATATTTCAGGAACAGTGTATTGTAAATATTTGTATGATATTTGTATGAGAATTCCATAAGACAAAACTAGCACTGACAAATTTGGTGAAACAAAATAAACTATACCCAGTGATTGAAAAGATGTGTCATTGCAAAGAAGGGAAGGAATGTGTGAAGGTGTGGCTATTTTGAATTCACACATTTTATTTATTTATTTATTTTATTAGTGAAACACCATGAGGTACAGTTGTAGACTTACAAACTTTTGTGTTTGGGTTTCAGTTATACAATGATCAAGTACCCATCCCTCCATCAGTGCCCATTCTCCACCACCGATGAACCCAGTAGCCCATTCAACCCCAACCCCCCCACCCTGCCCCACTTCTGTGGCAGGGAATACCCTTTTGTTCTCTCTTTCCTTTAGGATGTTGTGCTTTGAAATAGAGGTATTGAGTGCCCATCGTGTTCGGTCTATAATCTACTTTCAGCATGCATCTCGCATCCTGAGCAAGTGCTCCAAACACGCTTTACTTGGTGTTCTCTTACTCTATATGAGCTGCCTTTTTCCCCAGCATGTGCTGCCGGCTTCCAAGTTGTGGAACAGATCTCCTGGTACTTATCTCAACGAATTTTGGGTGTTTGTATCACATTTTGTTACTTTATATTCCTCAGATGAATGTAGGCAGTCTTTCTATGCCTGTCCCTCTCTTTCTGATTCATTTTACTTAGCATAATACTTTCCATGTAGAACCACTTGTTTGCAAATTTCATAACTTCATCATTTCTAACAGCTGCATAGTATTCCATTGTGTAGATGTACCAAAGTTTCTTTGTCATCTGTCCTCGGGCACTCGGGTTTTTTCCACATTTTGGCAATTGTGAACAGTGCAGCAATGAACATACACGTGCAGATGTCATTTTGACTATATTTTTTGCCTCTGAAGGATATATTCCCAGGAGTGGTATTGCTGGGTCAAATGGGAGCTTAATTTCTAATTTTTTGAGAATTGTCCATATTGTTTTCCAAAAGGGCTGAACCAGTCAGCATTCCCACCAGCCCACCAGTAAAGGAGAGTGCCTTTCTCACCACATCCATGCCAACACTGCTTGCTTTTGTTCTTTTGGATGTGGGCCAGTCTCTGTGTTGTGAAATAATATCTCATTGTTATTTTGATCCGCATATCCCTGATGATTAGTGACGTAGAGCATTTTATCATGTGCCTTTTAGGCATTCGAATTTCTTCTTTGACAAATTTTCTGTTCATTTCATCACCCCATTTTTGAAGGGGTTGGATGTTTTCTTCTTGTGGAGTTCATCCAGTGCTTTGTATATCCTTGATATCAACCCCTTATCAGATGGGTATTGGGTGAATATCCTTTCCCATTCTGTAGATTGTCTTTAAATTTTGGTCACTGTATCTTTTGCAGTGCAGAAGCTTCTTAGTTTAATATAGTCCCATTTATTTATTTCTTTTTCCACTTGGTTGGTCAGTGGAGTGTCATCTTTGAAGATACTGTTTGCCTCAATATAGTAAGGGGTTTTGCCAACCTTGCCTTCAATGTACCTTATGGATTCTGGTCTTATGTTGAGATCTTTAATGCATTTTGATCTGACTTTTGTGCATGGTGTTAAGTCGAGGTCTGAGCCCATTTGTTTTTTTCATGAGGTTGTCCAGTTATGCCAGCACCATTTGCTAAAGAGACTTTTCTTGCTCTACTTCACATTTATTGCTCCCTTATCAAAAATTAGATTTTCATACACTTGGGGTTGTGAGTAGGGATATTCCACCCTGTTCCATTGGTCTGCGGCCCTGCCTTTGTTCCTGTACCATGCTGTTTTAATTGTTACTGCTTTGTAGTAGAGTTTGAGGTTGAGGAGGGTAATGCCTCCCATCGTCTTTTTGCCAAGAATCGCTTTACTCTACATGAGCGTTTGTTGTTCCAAATGAATTTTAGGAGTGCTTGATTCATTTCTTGGAAGAATCTCATGGGTATCCTTATAGGAATCATACTGAATCTGTACAGTGCCTTGGGGAGTATTGCCATTTTCACAATGTTAATTCTTCCTATCCATGAGCAGGAGATATGTTTCCATTTCCTCATATCCTCTTTTGTTTCATGAAGTAGCATTTTGTAGTTTTCTTTGTAGAGGTCCTTTACCTACTTAGGCTGATTCTGAAGTACTTGATTTTCTGGGGCAAGATTTTGAACGGGATTGCTTTTTTCATGTATGTTTCCTCTGTCTCAATATTTGTGTATAGGAAGGCCATGAATATTGGGGTATTGATTTTATAGCCTGTGAATTTACTGCATAAGTCTATTGTTTCTAGTAGTTTCTTGGTAGAGGATTTAGGATTCTTTAGATACAGTATTGTATCATCTGAAAATAGTGAGAGCTTGATTCCTTCCTTTCCTATCTGAGTGCCCTTAATATCTTTTTCTTGCCTAACTGCTATTGCAAGTACTTCCAGTACTATATTGAAAAGAAGTGACAAGAGTGGGCATCCTTGTCTTGTCCCTGATCTTAGAGGTAAGGCCCTTAGTTTTTCCCCATTGAGGATAATGCTTGCTGTAGGTTTGTTGTAGATAGCTTTGACTATTTTGAGGAAAATTCATTCTAAGCCCATTTTGGTGAGAGTTTTCATCATAAACAGGTGTTGGATCTTGTCAAATGCTTTCTCTGCATCGATTGAGATGATCCTCCTATGGTTTTATCTTTTCTTTTGTTGATATGATGAATTATGTTGATGGAATTCCGAATGTTAAACCATTCTTGCACCCCCGGGATGAATCCCACTTGGTTGTGGTGGAATCTTTTTGGAGTTTGGATTCTATTTGCTAATATTTTGTTGAGGATGTTCATATCTGTGTTCAATAGAGATATTGGCCTGTAATTTTCTTTGTTAGTGGTGTCTTTCTTTGCTTTTGGTATTAGGGAAATATGTGCCTCATAGAAACTGTTTGGGAGAGTTTCTGGTTTTTTTTTTCCAATTTCCTGGAAAAGCTTGAGAACTGCCAACAGGCCTTCTTTGAATGTTTGGAAGAATTTGCTAGTAAATCCATCTGGGACTGGGCTTTTGATTTTGGGAAGACTTTTGATTATTGCTTCAATGTCCTTGATACTAATGGGTCTATTCAGGTATTCCAAGTCTTCTTGGCTCAATCTTAGGAGATTGTAGGAATCCAGCAATTTACCCATTGCTTCTATGTTCTCTTTTTTTGTGTCATACAGACTCTCAAAGTAGTCTCTGATAATCTTTTGAATGTCATTGGTTTCTGTTATGATGACCCCCTTTTCATTTCTGATTCAGGTTATTAGGGTTTTCTCTCTCTCCTTTCTTTGTGAGTCTTGCTAGTGGTTATCAATCTTGTTTATTTTCTCAA